CAATGTTTTTTTTTTTTTTACTAAAGTTAATTTTTTGTTTTGTTTCCCAAGAGACATGGGTATGATGAAATTATAGAGAATCTAAAATTGAATCTTCAGACTTATACAGAAGAGGAGACACAACGGCGTCAACGAGATGCTAACACAATACAAGAATTGACAAAAAAAGTTCAACTAATGGAAAATGTATATCGCGAGAATACGAAAGGTATGTTATGAAATTTTTTTTTTTAAGAAAAAATTTTAAATTTAAATTAACTAGCATAAAATTCTCCATTATAGAAACACTTCAGCTCAAAAAAGATAAAATGACAGAAGAGCGAAGAGTTAATGAAAACTTAACCTCAGTGTTGCAAGAATTGGGTGATATAAAAGTTAAATATCGCAAAGAGAAAGAAAGAAATGACACGGTCGAGCGAGTAACTAAACTAACTAAAATCATTATCATACGTTTTTAAATCTTATTTTCATTGTTATTAAAATCACATATCATTTATAGGAAGTCGAATCAAGAATACTTTCAAAATACGATTCTTCGATTAATGAACTTAGACGACAAAATGAACAGTACGAAAGGGAGATCAAATCAATTAAAGTAAGCCAATTTATTCTTCATAAATTTTTATATTTATTAATATTTAATTTTTTTTAATTAGACCGAGAAAGAACAAAATGAAGAATCTTCAAAGCGTAAAATTGAAATCCTTCAGAAAAGGGCTGAAACGCTTACAGCCAAGTATATATTGACAATTACAATTATTTTATAACGAATGAATAAATTGTTGAATTTATTGTTTATTTTTTTAAAGTTACAATAACATGAAAAGGCGGCGAAATCACGATTTTGAAGGATTTTCAAATGACATCACGATGTTGAGAAAACAGCTTAAGGGATTAGAAAAGCTGATATTGAAATATGCTCCATATGATGATCAGGAGTACCATTTAATGAATATAGGTAAATAAATTGTTACTTTAAATATCCTATATATATATATCTATTGATTGCTTATGTATGTTTATTAGTCAAAGAAACCGGTGGACAGATAGGTAAAGTTTCGGATGAATTACGAACGCTAAAGGTAAGCATTTTTACGTGATAAAAATTAATACGAATGGGAATTATTTCAGGCGGCTCAAAATATAACGAATCTTTTTAATTTTAATTTTTTTTTTATATTTAGCATTAATTTTGTAATCATCTTTCCCTTATATTATTAAGGTTGTGTATAACAAATAAATTCGTATATAATAATTAATCTGAAAACTTCGATATGAGCACATCATAATCATTTTACCACTATTACAAGATTCATGTGAATTATGCTGACTTGACTTTATTTGTACCACGAAGCAAACCGCTTCTTCTGGCTGCAATTAAACCAACCTAAGATTAAGATTAAAAATATTATAAAAATTATTTAAGAAATTTAAAGTTTTCAAAAATGAATACTATAAAAGAAATAAAGAAACTGTACCTTTTGTCCGGGAGCACTTTCTCTGGAGACTGTAGATGCGTGACCAATATGTTGATGATTACCACCACCGTGAGGATGGTCCACAGGATTCATAGCAACACCACGAGTCTTGGGCCAGCAATTTCTCTTTACACGATATTTGTGATATGCACGACCAGCCTTAAGCAAAGGCTTATCAATACGACCGCCACCAGCTACGATACCTATCGTAGCACGAGCACTAGAGTTGATAACTTTCTTAGCGCCAGAAGGAAGTTTAATTCGGGTCTTGCCTTCATCATGATTATGGCCAATGATAGTAGCATAATTGCCTGAAGCACGAGCTAAAGCACCACGATCACCAATCTTTTCTTCTACATTGCAAATGATTGTACCTTCGGGCATTGAACCAAGGGGAAGCACATTTCCAACAGTTAAAGCGGCTTTTCTTCCACAATAAACAAATTGGCCAGTATGCATGCCCTCAGTAGCAATGAATGTTTGGATGTGACGTTTGTACCTAAAATATAAAATAAAATAAAAATAAAAAAAAATAAAACTCATCAATGTTGTTTAAAATTACATATCTAAAACATCTAATTGAATACTCCAAATTAAGATTACAAAACATACCGATAAGGATCACGAAATTGCACTTTGGCAAGAGGAGCACCACGGCCAGGATCGTGAATAATCTCTTTAACAATGCCTCTTGTATATCCATTACGTTCAGCATAATCCAAAGGTCTTAATTTAGCAGCTCCTTTGCGAAGCCTAGTGTGAGCCTTGAAAATGCCACCGGGACCTTTTCTTTGAGAACGAATAACACGACCCATCTTTAAAGTTTTAAGTTATGCTATTATCAACAAATAAAAAAATGATATTATATTATGATTACCCAAAGTTTTCTTAATATATTCAAAAGAATTTTACATCAATTGGTAAATTATAAAGACAAATTGAA